AACAGTCACATCTCAACTCAAATTAAAAATTCGAATCAGCGAACTAAACGGACCCTTACTTTTAACATTTAAATTATATGAAAACAAAAAAGTATATAATAATTAACGGAAATCGACCATTAAGATTTTTCCATCTCCTATCTTAATACTTCAAGGAGAAGAAATACCCTAGGAAACGATCTAGCAAGATTATAAATACACTACTTGTAAATTCTTATTGGTTGGGTATGAATAAAAATATACTATCGGTACAAATACATTATCATGATTGTAAATAATATTTTTCACTACTACTATAAATATTTTACATTAGGAGAATTCTAAGGTAACTTATGAAAAAAAAAATATATATATTATTAGTAAGGTTCATTTCTAACCGTGAGTTATATAATGTCCATTTAGTTCGCTAATTCGAGTTTTTAATTCGAGTTGAGATGTAACTTTATGTGAAAGTTTTTTAATGTAACAAAAAAGTTAGATGTGATTGTTTCTAAGAGCTTTTTACTATAGCAAAACTCGAATCAGTGAAATAAACAAGACTATATTATAAACCGTGTTAGTTTTACATAGTCATATCTTTTAATTTGATTAATTTTGATTAGGTTTAATATTCAAAAACGTGTTATCAATAAGGGTTTTTTTTTTTTTTTTTTTTTGTCGAAAGCTCCTTATAATAGCACAATTTTTTTTGTGTACCAACCCTTAATTTGAAGGTTGTTAGAGGGAAAGTTATTACTTAATATGGATTCTGTCAAAAAGTTTTGGTCCTTATTAACCTTCTAGGCTTTTCCAGAAGTGGAAAGACTTTCCCTCTTATGAGTGATGAGCTACTGCCCTAAAGGCTAAGGGCTTGTGCTCTTATTTTATAGGGCCATGCAAAACTTCTTTATAAGAAAGCACCCACAGAACCAACGGACAAAAGCTTTTTGGTCACTTTCAAGTCAACTTGTTCAGTTATTTCTCTGAAAATCAACAGAAGAAAAAAAGGGGGTCTAATTAACTGCTTAACTTTCACTTTGCTTTTACCATAGAGTTAAAAAAAAAAAAAAAAAAAAGTCTTTCTCCTGTGGAATATCTCACGAAAAATTGAATTTGGTAAAAATCATATAAAATGCAAAAATAAGTGAAATAAATAGTTTTTAATATAGAAATTTAGTAAAAATTATATAAAATAAAAAAAATAAGTGAAATAAATAATTTTTAATATAGATCTAATTATTGAAAATAAAATCTTTTCGATTCATTTTTGGGTACCTACTAAAAAAATCCCTTAGAAAAGGTGAATAAAGAAGAAATCCAAAAAAATTTCTATTTATAAACCCTTCATATTCCCACCGGTCACCCTACTTTTGTGTGCTTTTTAATGACCGTAAAAACGGGGAGTGAAGGAAAAAAGGGCTGCCTAAAACATGCTCTCTTTGTTTTTATTGTTTCGGTTCGACTTTTGGTAATGTAAACATTAATATACAAAAACACAAGACAAATGTGAAAATGTCATTTACATTTCAACATTGGATGATTAAAAGTAATTACAAGTAATGACCATCATGAGTATTTCATTATTGACATTAATATTAGAATTCACTTTTTATATTCAATACCGTAACACACAACAAATTAAAACAGATCCCCTCGGTATTATGACTTGTTTGTACTACCTCCAGAAAAATATTGTACAAATAACATTGGGAGTTTTTTTAGTAGGACGAGAAAAAATAAATTATCGGTAGTTCTTTTTACTTTTCAGTTGTTAAATTTGTATTATAAAATGTTTGTTCTATATATTTTTTTCAATCTAATATAATTTTAAATATATCTAACGATAAGAAACTTACGCTACTAATAAGTCGATTTATAAGAGAAGATCCTAATAACATAATAATTTAAGCGTACAATACCAATCTGTCTCTTCTATCTTCTTAGTGAACAAAATACCCTATAAAATACTACAAAAATTAAAATATTCATATCTCAATCAGTTTCACTAATATATATACTATGTATTTTAATGTGATTACAATTCTATTGTAATTTAGCATTTACTGGCGTTCAACAATTCTTAGAATTAGAAAACCAACCACTAGATAATACATAATACCAACAATAATATAGAATACCAAGTAGAGCTAAACGTCAATCAGTTTTGGTTGCTCAGTGATCGAAAACCAATCACTAGATTTTTTAGAATTAGAAACCAGTCTAGGAGATAAAAGTATTAAGTTGTGGAGCTTAATTAATTGTCCTGACGATTTATTGTCTCAAGCAGAGGATTACATGGATCGACCTTACATGTTGCGTTTTTATCTTGTAAATTCTTCTTTATTATAGTGAAAAATGCAACAGCTGAAAGAAGACGTAGTCTCAATTGAGGAGAACCTTTCGTGTGTTTCTTTTCACTTGATTTCTTTTATTGCACCCCGCAATTAGAATTAGAACATCTAATTCTTAACAAAAGGGACTACGCAACTGAAAATGACCGATCAGTTTCGATCCGTTCTGTCTATACTGCTTTTCTTATATTTTTTCTCGGTAATCGGACAGTATAATATAGGTAGCCAGATGGTTTTTTTACCATTTTTGTTTTACCAAAAACGATTAACGTACAGACATGAACATAGTAATTAATCTCATACATGTTATATAACAGAAAACATCTAACCGAACACAAAAATACTAGTCTCATCATAACTTATTCATATGTATATAAACAAAACTAGTATATAGTGAACGCGTATATCAAAACAGATGATCAAATTGTCTAATAATGAGTGGTTCGATTAATCGAGTCATTAATTATGCTAAGGTATTGATCAGTATACTTCGATGGCACTCGATTTTTAATTTTTCTCTTTTTTTTTTGTTAGTCTTTCAATTTTCCATCTTACTTGAATTAACTTGCATTTCTTAATCCCTTTTGTTCATATAGCGCGTGTTTTGCACTCGTACCAAAAGAGAATGTGAGACGAAAAGTGAAAATAATAATAAAAATATCGATACCCTAAATTTTAAAAAAATAATAATAAAGAAAATATCAATATTAAGAGAAATATCAAAAACTTATGAAGACTACGTATATTTATTTTTAATATTTAAAATACGATAAGTATATATACACAAATAAACAAGCTTTTATATAAAAGATGATCAGGAAAAAAAGTGCTATAAAACTTAAATATGGTTAGGATTTCATCATAATTTGAGTAAATATTAGAAAAAATATACACTGTTCTACAAAGTATACAAGTATACTAGGTGATAAAATTTTATTATTTAGCTAATAAAACATTGAAAAATGAAGGAAAAAATATATTGACTATTAATATTAACAAGAGTTTAGGAGTTTTTGATATTTCCACCAATATTGTCTCGATATTTCTTGATTTTTTTTAAGTACAATACGACCTCATCAAAATCGATATTATAATTCGATATTTTCTGATATTTATCAAATTTTCGTGGATAAAAAGGTTTTACACACAAAAATATTTCAGTACCTTAAAAGTATAGTAGATAATTTTGTTCATAAGTGGAAAATATATCTCCGTCAAATGGAAGCAAAAAGAATTCTTCTAAATCTTGAGTTTAGTCGATGTTTAGTTTATGAGTTTAAAATTATTATTCATAATTATTTTTAATTTATGTGTATTTTTTATAAGAAAAATACTGTAACGAGCCACGAATCATAATTTAAATTATGATGCGACCCCGTTCACTTCGCTGATTCGAGTTTAGAATTCGAGTTGAGATGTGACTTTATGTGAGAACTTTTTACTGTAACAAAAAAGTTAGATGTGATTGTTTGTGAGAGCTTTTTACTGTAGAAAAACTCGAATTCTAAATTCGAATCAGCGAAGTGAACATGGCCCAAAATTTTTTCTATTTTTGAACCTTGGTTGACCTGAATTTCGTACAAGAGTTAACTACAGTTTAGTTGTCTGGTTAACAGTCCAATTCTTTTTTAACCATCCTTGCTTTTAGAGAGAAAAAAAAAAGAAAAAAAAAAGAAGTTTTTAACAATCCCAACACGCGATAAAATCGGGACAATTTCTTTTCAATATCTCGGCGGGGAAATAGGACACAGAAATCCATACTAAATAAAAAAATAAAAAATAATTAAGTACAAGATTAACCTGTCTGAATATGTAATCCTGATGGAATTAAATAAATAATAGTTTAATAAAGTGGATGAATAAAATATTAGGAGAAAAAATCGGATAGGTTCCTTAAAGATCTTTGTTGTTTTGCTGGCTTCTGAAGATACAGAGAGTTTCGTCAGATCCGAAGAAAAAGGTAAAAAATCAAAATTCAGGTTAATAACTAATAAAATAAAAATTGTAAATAATCAAGAAAATAAATAAGAGAGAGAAAGGAACAGTGGGATATTACTACATTTTCGTCCTAAAAAAGTGGATTTGTGTTTTCTGTTTTCTAAATTTTTTTAAAACATGTATAAAAAAAATATTAAAATAAAGCACTAATAGTAAATTAATATTAAAAATAAGGAAAAATATAGAATACCATTTAAAAGATGCAATTTTTATATTTATGCCACTGATTAGTATAAATAGAAAAAAAAATATTGGCCAGACAATTTCAAAAGAGTAATAATAAATTTAAAATAAAGAGAAGTATTAAAATCTTTATATTTATGTCATTTATTGGTATAAATTTAACATTTATACTAACTTCATCCGAAAAATATCACAGGACAACTTCAAAGAGTATGCTATAAAATATTTTAAATATTCTATAAAAATATGTTTTTAAATCAATAAAAATAGTATAAATATAAATCTCTTGGATTTTAACGGCATACTTCATAATTTTCACTTAAAAATAATGAGGAAAATAAGTAAGAGAGAGAGAGAGAGGAACAGTGGAGTATTACTACAGTGCCAGTAGTTGATATTTTTATTTTTATTATGTCTTAAAAGAAGAGGATTTTTATTTATTTAAGAGTCAAAAAAAACATTTGTTTATATTTTTGTTTGTGGAGCTTTTGGACTCTTGCATGATCCAAAAGGTTGCTGTGGCTTTTCTCCTCCTTCTCTCTCCTCTGAACTTTCTCTCTCTAGCTTTTGTTTTGTTTTGTTTTGCTTCTGTGCTTCCATGGCGTTTTATCTTGTGTTGTGTCGGCCATTGAGCTGTCGATTGAATCTCTGAACCACGACGAAGAAGATTCATTCACCGGCCAACCGAAAAAACAATCCAAAAGGTTGTAGAAAACTTCTGAGAGTTAGTTTTTGTTCTTCTGGAATTCTCGAGCTTGAAGAAGAAGAAGACGAATCGCTCGTGTTTTTCCTTTCTTGTTTCGCGTCTTATTTTTGGATTCTGATTTTGACGCGGATCTTCGAATTCGGTTTTCTGTAAAGTTTGACGACGAAATTGGAATTTTTTTTTTTTTTTTTTTTTTTGGGCGAAAGGAAAGATTCCGGTGGATTCTGGACTCGTTCAGTGAGGAGATACTTAGGGCTTTGGGGAGTGTTTCCATGGCGGAAGCTTCTGAAGAGAAGCAAAGTTCAGTTTTTGCGGTGTACTAATGGTGAGTGTGAGGAAGAAATTGACGCGTTGAATTGAGAAGAAACCGAGAAAATTGAAGTTTGGAATTTTTTCCCCTGTTCCGGGTGGAAAAAATGTTGGGATACTTTGGAATTATTACAGGTTTTGGATCTTCTTCTCTATAAGGTAAGAGAAATGCATCAAAAACTGTACTTCCATTTATTGAACTCATAATTACTTTCCTTATAAGAATAATTCTTCTATTTCTGTGATTTTCACTTTTTTTTCCATCATTTGTAGAATATGTTCTGACCATGATGAACTTTATATTGTCACAGACTTCTCTGAGATAGGAATCACAAAGTTAAAGGTGGATTTTTTTTTCTTCTGAGAGCTGGAAATTGGAAAACTACTGTTGTGATTGTACAAAACTGGTGGTTTGTCCTTTTTTTTTTTTTGGGTTGAGTGGAATTAAGAATTGAGATGATTACGTTTATGGATTCAAAAGAGAAAATGAAGGAGGTGGAGAAGTGCTTAGACCCTCAGCTATGGCATGCCTGCGCCGGAGGGATGGTTCAGATGCCTCCGGTGAATTCGAAGGTCTTCTACTTCCCTCAGGGGCACTCTGAACACGCCTGTGGACCTGTCGATTTTCGAAATTGCCCGAGGGTTTCGCCTTGTAATCTTTGCAGGGTTTCCTCCATTAAGTTCATGGCTGATCCTGAGACTGATGAGGTCTATGCCAAGCTAAGATTGGTCCCTCTTAGTTGCAATGAGCTTGGATATGATGATGATGGTATTGGAGGGCTTAATGGGTCCGAAACTCAAGAGAAACCAGCCTCATTTGCAAAGACTTTGACGCAGTCGGATGCAAACAATGGGGGTGGTTTCTCAGTCCCTCGGTATTGCGCGGAGACGATCTTCCCCCGTTTGGATTACTCCGCTGATCCCCCTGTTCAGACCATCCTTGCCAAGGATGTTCATGGAGAGACATGGAAATTTAGGCATATTTATAGAGGGACGCCTAGGCGGCATCTTTTGACCACGGGATGGAGTACTTTTGTGAACCATAAGAAGCTTGTTGCTGGCGATTCAATTGTGTTTCTCAGGGCTGAAAATGGCGATCTGTGTGTAGGGATTCGGCGAGCAAAGAGGGGAATAGGAGGTGGGCCAGAAACTTCGTCGGGTTGGAATCCTGCTGGTGGAAATTGTGCCATGCCTTATGGAGGGTTCTCTACGTTTTTGAGGGAGGACGAGAACAAGCTCTTGAGGAATGGCAATGGTAACGGCTCAAGCTTGAATGGTGGTCTGATGGGGAAGGGTAAGGTGAGGCCTGAATCAGTAATTGAAGCTGCAACACTTGCTTCCAGTGGGCAGCCCTTTGAGGTCGTTTACTACCCTCGAGCAAGCACGCCAGAGTTTTGCGTGAAAGCCTCGTTGGTAAAAGCGGCATTGCAGATCCGATGGTGTCCGGGAATGAGGTTCAAGATGGCCTTTGAAACGGAGGACTCTTCGCGAATCAGTTGGTTCATGGGCACTATATCTTCTGTTCAGGTTGCGGATTCCCTGCGCTGGCCTGATTCACCTTGGAGGCTTCTCCAGGTACTACCTATCTTGTCTCATATCAAAGTTGTCTGTATTTTTCGATCAACAGATTCCTTTTGTTTCTAGTTTAAAATCAGCTTTTCAATCCCCTGTTACAGCCTGTGTTTGCCGGTGTCAGTTCCAGCTAGAAAAAGAACAGAGAAAATTTGTGAGCATCAGTTTTTCATTGAACATTTAGGATGTTTCCCCTTACAGAATTCATACAGCAGTTTAATAAATTCAAAGCTTTCTGAAATGCATAGTTACGAGCTTCAGAATTTCGCTGAGCTAGTAGAAGCTTTTGCAATTCAGATCTGTTGCATTTCTTGAACTCGCGATAACAACTGTTTACCTTGATAACCTGTTGTTCTATATTGGCTTGTGTTTGCTCAATTTTCTCTAATTTGCGGGAGCATTTATCTGCAGGTCACATGGGACGAACCTGATTTACTTCAAAACGTGAAACGCGTTAGTCCGTGGTTGGTAGAATTGGTCTCTAACATGCCGGCCATTCATCTATCTCCCTTCTCACCACCGAGGAAGAAGTTGAGATTGCCGCAGCATTCAGATTTCCCCTTTGACGGCCATATCCCGATTCCAACATTCTCCGGGAATCTCCTTGGGCACAGCAACCCCTTTGGTTGTCTGTCCGAAAATACTCCTGCTGGCATGCAGGGAGCCAGGCATGCTCATTATGGTCTATCTATATCAGATCTCCACCTCAATAAACTGCAATCAGGTCTATTTCCGGTTGGTTTCCCGCCGTTCGATCATGTTGCTGCGGCCACAAAATTCTCCAGTAACACAATGAACTACAAGCCTAACTTGAATGAAAAAGTGTCTTGCTTGTTGACGATGGCACATGCCACACAGGCTCCAAAGAAGCCTGATGATGTGAAGCCAACACCGCTCATACTCTTCGGTCAACCTATACTCACAGAGCATCAGATTTCTTTGAGCTGTTCTGGCGATACAGTCTCGCCAGTTCTTACTGGCAATAGTTCATCAGATGGGAATGGTGATAAAACAGCAAACTTTTCTGATGGCTCTGGATCTGCCCTTCATCAACAAGGGCCTCTGGAGCGCTCATTGGGTGAAGGGTTCCAATGGTACAAGGATAATAGGCAAGAAACTGAGCCGAATTTGGAAACTGGTCACTGTAAAGTTTTTATGGAGTCGGAAGATGTAGGTCGCACCCTCGATCTCTCATTGCTCGGGTCTTATGACGAATTGTACAGAAAACTAGCAGACATGTTTGGTATAGAAAACTCCGAGACACTGAGCCATGCTCTCTATCGCGATGGTACAGGTGCAGTCAAGCACATTGGAGATGAACCATTCAGGTATTTAGCTGATTCCCATTCCCTTCTAGTTCTCTTCTTTTCAGTTTCAAATATTTTCTTTGCTGTTTTATGGTGTTCAAACTGTTTACAATTCCTTTATTAACATGTCAGTGACTTCACAAGAACAGCAAGGAGGTTGACGATTCTAATGGATTCAGGCAGCGACAACATAGGCATGTAAAAACAGACAAAACACTGATTCAATTTGTGCAGCTGGTTGATTTAATCCTTAGTTCCTATGCTGACCATTTACCCTTCTTGAGGAGCCACTCTGATTCGATTTTTGAACTTCCAACTTCTTGAGAAGCCACTCTGATTGATTTTTGAACTTCCAACTTCTTGAGGAGCCACTCTGATTCGATTTTTGAACTTCCAATCTAAGTCGTTCCTTTTCTCGCTTTCGTTCCTTTGTTCGGAGAAAAATTCTTCGAATCTCCAAGTTTCAATTTCCATTGCAGTTTTGTTGGCTTTGGCTTTAGGTTTCCCTACCCTTTACAAATTACAGCTCCCAAATCCTACATGTATAAGGTGGTTTTGTAGGACGTGGTTTATATTCTAAAAAGTCTTTTAGTAATTATTTCTAGTCTTGTAAGAAGGCAGTTTTTTGATTGGAAATGTAAATTTCTACAAGCAAACCGAGTTTTGAGCAAAAGAGTCCTCTTTGTTGGCTCTTTCTTTTATACTGTATAGTTTAAACTCGCAAGAAAGTGCATGCATTTACTAAAAGTCTTTCTTGATAATCTTATTTTAAGTTTGAACTACATATGCCCCTTTTCTTTTGTTGTTGTATTCTAAAAAACAGCGAAAGAAACCTCAACGAGAAAAACTTTGCTAAAGTTTGAACTAGAAAATTATCACTGTATACGAAATAAGAAAATTATTACTGTAATAAAAAAGTTTGAATTACGATTTTAATCTACAAAATAAGAAAATTATCATAAAAAGGTTTAAACTGCGATTTAAATTTTCAAAATAATTGAGACTAGACCATGATGCAATTGCTGTTTTCTGATGGGAAAAGGGGTGAGAAGAGGTTTGTTCCTGTCAAATAGTTATGTTTCCACAGAAGAGGGAAAGAAGTGATGCATCTTTTGGAAATTAGTTGTTCCGTGCATGACCAACAAAACTCATAAAGAAAAGAAACAACGAGTTAGTTACAGGTCTAATCATCCTATAAATAAAAGTGGTTGAGTTTGACTTAATTCCCAAGTGTGTGTTAAAATGGTATCAGATGTTTCACACGACGAGATTCTACCCAAATATTGTCATGATCTCAGTTGGACTTGGATCAAGAAATCAAATATTTTTTTTTGTTTAATTCCCAAAAGAAAATGAAAAATAACAAATAAATGATAGGTAACTTGTAAAATTATTTACTCAAGAGAAAAATCCCATCATGGGGATTGCAAAACAAAAATTGTCCAAACGCATCATCGAAAGGTTAAAAACTAACCCCCCGTTCGGTAACGTTTTTAAAATTATTTTGTTTTTACTATAAAAGTAAAAATGAGATTATTTTGAGAATCATTCTGAGATCAATTCTGAAATTATGTTTAGTTAGTTTTTTAAGAGATTGTTTTGAGTATAATAAAAAAGTGAAATCGTGTTTGGTTATAATTATTAATTAATACATTATAATATTATTGATAAATACTAAAAAATGAAAACATAAAAGAAAAAATAACTTTTAATCGTTTTTTAATTCCTTCACAAAAATTATTATCATTGTTTTTTTATTTTATTTTTATTTTCAAAATATTTACTAAACGAATACGGTTTATAGATCGTTTTTATTTTTATATCTTAAAAAACGTGTAAAAACGTTTTTAAAAATAAACAAAAATTAATTCTAAATGCACCCTCAGAGCAAATGCGGGGAAAAAGGAACAAAAATGTCAAAAACGAAGAAGTGAATAAAAAAGAGTATAAAACGACAGAGGTAAAAGAGGTGGAAAAGCAGAAAGAACAACAAACAAAACACATTCTGTATTTCTAACCTAATTTGCCGCACGTGAGAGTTGTGGGACCCACACAATGAGGTCAAAATTGGAGTTTTGGCAACATTCACGTGCGGGCAACGTCAGCTGAGACTTATTTGAGAGAGAGAGAGAGATTTGCATATGTTGCGGCGTTTTGGTGACTGGGCTGTTTCTTTGTCCTTTTTTTTTTTTTTTTTTTTTTTCCTCATTTTGGCAATTTCCAGTTCATGGGTTTGGAGCTTTGACTACAATAACGACACCCATTTGTCGGGTCGGACCCACTTACCATTTCTTAATGACTTTGGTTGTCCCGGATTTTCTGTTTTCTGTTTCTATACCACTTCTTGAATAAGTGAATTTTGAGTTTACTAATACATCACACAAAAAGAAAAAAAAAAAAAAAAACACTACGTAACAATTTTTTAAAATTTAAAAAATAGAGTGAAAGAGATCAAATAACAACTATATTTGACAAAAGGAGAGTTAATTTAAACTTATTGGGTTGCCTATATTTTAGGGTAAACGAATATCTATAATGCTGAATAATCTTTTCAACAATCTCATTGTTATCTTTTTCACTTTTTCGTTCTTCATAATGATCATGTGTTAAAATAATGAAAAAAAGAGAAATGGAAAACGAAATATGATTATCTTGTCAAACCTAATATGTGGAAATCAGATCTGCCACCAACCACTTGTTTGTATATTTTATTTTTACGTATTTATGTGCCTATATTCCAAAGGGAGCAACGATATATCAGAAGAAAAGAAAAGAAACCAAACTTCTTTAATTATTACAGCAGTTTTAATTCATATATATATATATATGTGTGTGTGTGTATATATATATATATATATATATATATATATATATTATAATGGACACCGACAAGAAACACAACCCAAAACACAGCATCTTTTGATGACCAGATCTTGAGTTGGATCATGTGAATCTGAAACCGTATGATCAACGGCTTCTCTTCTGTTATATTGTCGTCCTCACTAGAACAATAAGAAAACATATATTATTGTTATCATCCCTTTTCTTTAATCTAAATAATAATAAAATAAAAAAACTTTTCCTTTTCTTAATTTGAAAGAAATTTAACTCTTCTCTGTATATATATACACCTTAACAGTCAAGGAATTAAGATAGTAATTACAACGCGTACAACATGCATGATATGTGCATGCGTTAGCACAACATATAGTATATATCAGAACTCAATATATATCATGAGAAGATTTTGCATTTGAGAACATGCAATATATACATGTTTCTTATAATATATATATATATATAGAGAGAGAGAGAGATATATATAGTACTTATAATCAATATATACATCAAAGTCTTCAATAGTATTTTTTTAAACACCTTATAATTAATCTTCCTTTTGGCAAGTGGGGCGCATTTAGTTTCACACAGCTACATCGACATGACCAGAACAAACAAATAGTCAAACAAACCTTTGGTTACGCACAAACAGATAGAGAGAAATGGGAGACAAAAAACCATTCCCGAAACATATTATTATTATTTGGTTTTTTTTTTTTTTAATGTGTGTGTGTGTGTCTATATATATATATATATCGTTTACTTTGTTTTCAGTTCCCACAGTTTCCCACCACATTATAAGGCATGGTTTCTACCTAGAAGATCAATAAACAAAACAGTATAGTACTACGTAGTAACATGAAATTAATCAAATCGAACAGATGATCAAGTATAAAACAATATTTAATATTAAGCCTTCCCTAGGGATTACCTGCCTGGGATTACCTGCCTTTATATTTACGTCAAGAAAACTGTCAGGTTTATGGTGCACTGAAAAAGCTAAATATATTAACGTCCCGTTTATTTCACCGATTCGAGTTTAGAATTTGAGTTTTGCTACAGTAAAAAGTTCTCAGAAACAGTCAAATTTAATTTTTTTGTTACAGTAAAAAGCTCTCACATAACGTCATATTTTAATTCGAATTAAAAACTCGAATTAACAAACTAAACGGACCATGAGATTATAAACTTGGGATTTTCGATGGATCCATATGTCTCGCAAAAAGGAGAAATATCTTTGATATGCTGGGACATCTATATACGTCATCATCAATATATTGAATAATCTAACAATATTTCTTAAAACGATCAGCTTTTACGTTTGACTTTATCGCTTTTGATATTGCTATGCACTACCACGTCCTTTTCTGAATTTTCCACACCCAATATTTTCTATTAATTAAAGTTTATTAATTTGGCCGTTGTTAGTTCTATCTTCTATGTGAGAATGTATACTGTACATAGACTTATATTAGCTGATCTTCATTCCTTATCCATTATATAATTAAAATGCATTAAAGTTGAATTTAATATAAATATATGTATTCTTATAAATATTTGGTAATTACAAAATATTATTATACGCCTAATTTGTTAATGTCGATAGCAATAAAATTGTGAAAAAGAAAAGTGGTTGCAGGCATAACCTAGTGGTAATCATACCATATTTAACTTCACCACATGGTTAGGGTCCAAACCCCTCATTTCAAGTTCAAAAAAAAAAAAAAAAAAAAACAAACAAACAAAGAAAGAAAGAAAGACAAACATTAAATTACAAGAGCATTAAAAAATAAAATTTTATAGTGATTTAACATTAATGTGAAAGTTACGTCTAACCCACGTCTTAAATTTCACTGTGCTTTCTCTAACTTCTTTCCTAACCCTAAAATAATCCCCCCCTCAGTAATAAATAAAACTAAGGCAACCGGAATTAGATACGTGAAAAACCCAAAAATTTCCCAAACTATTTCAAGATAATGATTAGGTTACACAACTTAACAACCTTAGCCATTACATTAATATTTCTTTTTTTTTTTTCCTTATTCTATATTATAGTGATCGGTATTTGGTTGTGAACTAACAAAGGTATGGTTTTTTTTTTTTTTTTTGGAATCTGAAAGATGATGCATTAAAGAAGATGTGTTTGTATTCTTTCTCTGGGCGATTCGACAGAATAAAAAACTATTCGGGGAGGTTTAGATTAGAGAAGGAGTCATCCTTGCGTAGACTTATCAAACCTGGTGTTTTCCTCATATAAATAGTTATGTACTGTTTCCACGTCTGACTATATATTTGTATTTGTGTATATGCGAGTGTGTGTATAATATACATATATATATATATATATATCTGTATGTATGCATTCCAGCAATCATTTTCGAATGGGCTACATCATTGGGATTCATTTCCTTTCCTCTTAGTGCAAAGTTGTTATGTAGAGCTGCTGACAGCGGGTGCTATATATGGCGCCAAATAATTATGACAATATATCAAAATAATTAACTCCAAAATCTCATTAAGCAAAAAAGATTAATAGTATACCCTTTTACTCTAATTATAAGTGACTCAGGCATCGTTGACTTTGCAGATTCGAGTTTTCAATTTGAGCTGAAATGTGACATTTTCTTAGAGTTTTTAACTGTAGCAGAAAAAGTTAGATGTGACATTTTCTGAGAGTTTTTAACTGTAAAAATTTAGAACTGAAAACTTAAATCAGTGAAATAAACGAAGTCTCAACTTTTTAAAACGGTGTACTTAATTACTATTCGATCAGTTCACAATATACAAAGTATACATGAAGAAATAGAAAAATTAAGTT